TATTGATTGCTTTTCGAAGTGTTCTCCGCGAAATTTGACACATTTTCCCATACGATGGAACCAATCATTGAAGCAACCATTCCATTTGGAAGTTGGGGTCTCCAAAAAAACTAGCAAGGGACTTAATTTTTAAAATTCATTTTAGACATTTATACGTGTGAATTGACGTGTTAGTGACATTTTAGTGACTACGCGGGCTCCGCCCACTCCACCGTTCTATTATGTATGTATTATAGTATTCTATGGGCCTCCTCCATAGATTGGCTCATATTTGTCACAAGCCACGTTCGCCAAGCGGGTTGGCACCCGCAGTTTTATATATTTTAATCGTTATAAGGAAGACGCTGCTCCTGATTTGTTTCCCTCTGTCGCCTGTAACGACACCTACGGGATGATATGGGGTAAGCAGGTAGGCGCAACACTTCAAGAAAGATTGGCCAGGTTTTTTAATAGGATAAGGGTGACAAACAAGCACACAGTCCATTTGATGGTAAGTGTTTGCTGTGGGCCATACACACCTACATCAATCCTCGACTACGAATCAAAATGCATATGAGTTGTCACCCACTATCAATATCCACTACTCCATATCATCCCGTGGGTGTCATAAGAGGCGACAGAAGTAAACAAATCCGGAGATGAGTAGCAGCGTCTTCCAAACTCTTTCAGAGTAGGTGGTTAGTAACGCTAACCACCTCTGTTATCTATGGTAGTACCCGGTTGACCGAGCTTTGCTCGGTATTTTTCGCTCGGTTTTTTTTAATTCGTGTGTTTTGGAAATTATATTTAGATATAATTTCCAAAACACACGATATATCTTAGCGACATAATAGAAAAAACTGAACTGGTTATTTGAATAAAAAATCGTGAGTGCAATTAGTTTAATTTAAATTTTCGTGTTTTTAAAAAATACTAAAAAAAAGGGTTCGAAAAAATAGATTTTCTCAAAACAGAAAGGAACTTGAAAATAAATTAAAAAAAGTTTATTTTCAAGTTCCTTTCTGTTTTGAGAAAGGAAACAAACGGTCGGTCTGGGCTCGAACCATGGTTTTACGATTATGTGGCCGCACAATATACCAATTAAGGTACTTGTAATCTTTAATAAATAGTCAAAATTTACCTTCTTATACTAACAATATTGTATCAGTTTTTCATTGCCTAAAAACACAGACAAAAACATTTTCTAAAAATAAATCCTAGCTAGATCGATTTATTGCCCCCCGAAACTCCCTGCACACAAAATTTTATGAAAATCGTTGGAGCCGTTTCCGAGATTCCGATTATATATATATACAAGAATTGCTCGTTTAAAGGTATAGGATGATTCTAAAAATAACGCCACCTTTTGGTAACTTTATGAATGAATATGACAGATATATCCCTAACCTCTATAAATGACCGTTAGGTGTCAGTTGAATCGATTGTCAGTTACAATTACGAACTTGAGATTTAATGGGTCGCGAGTGTTTTAATACACGGAGATTGCATTATTGGATTAAAAAGAAGAATAGATAATGACGGTATTCAATGAACAATAGATAAGTAAATAAGAACAATGGGGCGCTAAGGCCCGCACCGGATATTAATTAGATAAGAGTTAATTGATCTGCACATCTCCGGAACCGTGCATCCTACGCAAAAATGGACCGCAGATTCGTGATCAGAGCATGCCAAAACCTTTTTTTTAGGATCGTGAGTCGACGAACGTCGTACTTGTACCGCTTCTGACTCAGTGAGCCAGAACTGGTACAACGTAACTACTGTTATTAGCTCTTTGAGCCATACTTTTATATTTCGAATATTATAAACAAAAAATATATACGGCTGTATTAGTTAGGACTACTACATGTATAAAAAAAATAAAAAAATTGCTTAAGCCTTAAGGCTTTTGAGGAATGAGGTGGTTACCAGCACTAACCACCGTGGCTATAGAATAAAACATGTATGATGAATAAAGAACTCTATTTTTAGAATTATTTCCTTACTTCAACTACTTTTTGTGAAAATCATCAAAGCAAGTTTTTCCTTTACGTAGGCAAAGGGGAACTTTGCACATGCTACACTCCCAAACTGTGCGTACTGGATGAGATTTTGTACTGCACTTGCAGCAGCGTCTAGAAGTGCCCTGTTATGGTTGGTGCCGACTACTTTCTAAACGTATTTCTTAGGGAACTTTTGGTTTATGACGTTGTATTAGCACAGGAATCGGAGAATGCGCTGGAGAACTGATATTGGAACCATAAGATCGCTTATTCACAAAAGCAGGGGCAAGAATGCCCTGGTAGACAGAACGGCGGAATTCCTTCATTGTCAGTCTTGACAGTCTTATATGATCAAGTTTTTGAAGATCTTTGTAAATAACAAAAGAATTTACCAACGCGCAGTCCAAGAAATGAAAGAATATTCTATGCCACCATTTTCGAGACTTTCAATGGCATAACAGCTTTTGAGTTGGTCAAACTTGTCTACAAAGTTCATATTTCCGTTGTAATCTTTTACAAGTTCAGGGCAAGCTATCTGGTTTGAGTCACCATTACTCTCTTTGCGAGTAACAGTACTGACATTTCGTGGGTCGTGGTAGTTTGATAAAAGGTGGTACCCTCTTATCTTTCCACTTCATCACAGTCACATTTGTGTCACTGACTCGATAGTCATGTTCACCCCTTACTAACTTAGTATCTTCTTTGAGTGTAGGTAAATGTTTTCTAGTAGCATTTACAGTACCACAAGCCAAGATTTTGTCGTTTAGTAAATCAATCTGCAATTTGTAACTGTTAAAATAATTATCAAAGTAGACTCTGTGATATTTGACTTTGAGATCTGTACATAATCGCTTTGCTATTGTCGCCCCCAAATCTTTTTCTACATTGTGTTCTTGTTTGCCTGTATATAATTGAAAATCGAGACAGTAACCAGACTCAGCATACTTCATCCAAACTTTACAGCCCCGTTTGATCGCTTTTTTTCGGCATGTACTGCTTTAGAGAAGACCCTCCTTTAAATTTTATCATACTTTCGTCTACTGCAACTTTTTCTGAAGGCTTATAATTAGCGCGGAAGTTTCTTTGAATAATATTCAACAAAGGACGAATTTTATACAATTTATCAAAGTTACTGACAAAAGATACTGTCTAGAAGGAATCAAGCTATTATTGTTCAAATGAATATGATTCAAAAGCCACCCAAATCTGTTCAAAGGCATAAAAGAGGAGATATAGCTATCATGTAGATCAGGTGCAGATGCCCAATAATCTTTGTAGCTTGCTAGCTTTTTAATACCCATAACCAAATTTAGAGCCAGAAACACATCAATCTCTTCAGGAGTAGTCGGTTTATAGTTTTTACCAGTTTGAGCAGCGTATAAGTTGGATTGAAAGTTCATTATTTCTAGCAAATCCTCTGTCCAAAACAAGCGAAAAAGTTGTAGAGGCGTTATATTTTCCCTGCTTTGAATATGTTCAGGAATACCAGAAATCTCACAAAAAGTACCAGGCAGTTTCATAGTGTAGCTTTTTTTCCATTTCGGTGGTCGAAATGTCGAAGAAATATCATCACGTGATTGAGAAGCAGAAGCAGAGGTAGTAGCGGTACTTACAAAATTAGCCAGAGGTATATCATCATCCGAGTCAAATTTGCCATTGAATGTTTGCACAGCGATAGTGTCACTACCAAGGGTGAATTCGGGGGCTTGATCAATGTCTGGTTCTGAGCCACAGTCTGAATCCGACTCCACACAATTTCAGGATCCGAAAGAATATCTTCTTGCAAAGATATTTTGAATTTCTTTTTCTTGTAATGCGCGCTTCATCCTATTAAAAAAAAAACAAAAACCAAATTGTAAATATCTAGCAAATTATATGTAACTTATTGGCCTATTATGTCACGGTGGTTACCTACACTAACTACCACATTCAAGTACTATTTGAGGATTGTTACGAATAATACTATAGTCAAATCTACAGAAAAATATAAACAGCAACACTTTCTAACTTCTTTTCTTATTTCTTTCTTATTCTAACGTTATTCTTATTTTAAAATATGTCGAAATATTTTAAAATAAGAATAACGTTAGAATAACTAAAACATACCTTTTTAATCCAATAATGCAATCTCCGTGAATTAAAACACTCGCGACCCATCAAATCTCAAGTTCGTAATTGTAACTGACAATCGATTCAACTGACATCTAACGGTCATTTATAGAGGTCAGGGATATATCTGTCATATTCATTCATAAAGTTACCAAAAGGTAGCGTTATTTTTAGAATCATCCTATACCTTTAAACGAGCAATTTATGATTGATGAATCGATTGTCAGTTACAATTACGAACTTGAGATTTAATGGGTCGCGAATGTTTTAATTCACGGAGATTGCATTATTGGATTAAAAAGGTATGTTTTAGTTATTCTAACGTTATTCTTATTTTAAAATATTTCGACATATTTTAAAACCACGTGATGATATTTCTTCGACATTTCGGGCACCGAAATGGAAAAAAAGTTACACTATGAAAATGCCTGGTATTTTTTGTGAGATTTCTGGTATTCCTCAACATATTCAAAGCAGGGAAAATATAACGCCTCTACAACTTTTTCGCTTGTTTTGGACAGAGGATTTGCTAGAAATAATGAACTTTCAATCCAACTTATACGCTGCTCAAACTGGTAAAAACTATAAACCGACTACTCCTGAAGAGATTGATGTGTTTCTGGCTCTAAATTTGGTTATGGGTATTAAAAAGCTACCAAGCTACAAAGATTATTGGGCATCTGCACCTGATCTACATGATAGCTATATCTCCTCTTTTATGCCTTTGAACAGATTTGGGTGGCTTTTGAATCATATTCATTTGAACAATAATAGCTTGATTCCTTCTAGACAGTATCTTTTGTCAGTAACTTTGATAAATTGTATAAAATTCGTCCTTTGTTGAATATTATTCAAAGAAACTTCCGCGCTAATTATAAGCCTTCAGAAAAAGTTGCAGTAGACGAAAGTATGATAAAATTTAAAGAACGGTCTTCTCTAAAGCAGTACATGCCGAAAAAAGCGATCAAACGGGGCTGTAAAGTTTGGATGAAGTATGCTGAGTCTGGTTACTGTCTCGATTTTCAATTATATACAGGCAAACAAGAACACAATGTAGAAAAAGATTTGGGGGTGACAATAGTAAAGCGATTATGTACAGATCTCAAAGGCAAATATCACAGAGTCTACTTTGATAATTATTTTAACAGTTACAAATTGCAGATTGATTTACTAAACGACAAAATCTTGGCTTGTGGTACTGTAAATGCTACTAGAAAACATTTACCTACACTCAAAGAAGATACTAAGTTAGAAAGGGGTGAACATGACTATCGAGTCAGTGACACAAATGTGACTGTGATGAAGTGGAAAGATAAGAGGGTACCACCTTTTATCAAACTACCACGACCCACGAAATGTCAGTACTGTTACTCGCAAAGAGAGTAATGGTGACTCAAACCAGATAGCTTGCCCTGAACTTGTAAAAGATTACAACGCAAATATGAACTTTGTAGACAAGTTTGACCAACTCAAAAGCTGTTATGCCATTGAAAGTCTCGAAAATGGTGGCATAGAATATTCTTTCATTTCTTGGACTGCGCGTTGGTAAATTCTTTTGTTATTTACAAAGATCTTCAAAAACTTGATCATATAAGACTGTCAAGACTGACAATGAAGGAATTCCGCCGTTCTGTCTACCAGGGCATTCTTGCCCCTGCTTTTGTGAATAAGCGATCTTATGGTTCCAATATCAGTTCTCCAGCGCATTCTCCGATTCCTGTGCTAATACAACGTCATAAACCAAAAGTTCCCTAAGAAATACGTTTAGAAAGTAGTCGGCACCAACCACAACAGGGCACATCTAGGCGCTGCTGCAAGTGCAGTACAAAATCTCATCCAGTACGCACAGTTTGGGAGTGTAGCATGTGCAAAGTTCCTCTTTGCCTACGTAAAGGAAAAACTTGCTTTGCTGATTTTCACAAAAATTTGTTGAAGTAAGGAAATAATTCTAAAAATAGAGTTCTTTATTCATCATACATGTTTTATTCTATAGCCACGGTGGTTAGTGCTGGTTACCACCTCATTCCTCAAAAGCCTTAAGGCTTAAGCAATTTTTTTATTTTTTTTTATACATGTAGTAGTCCTAACTAATACAGCCATATATATTTTTTGTTTATAATATTCGAAATATAAAAGTATAGCTCAAAGAGCTAATAACAGTAGTTACGTTGTACCAGTTCTGGCTCACTGAGTCAGAAGCGGTACAAGTACGACGTTCGTCGACTCACGATCTTAAAAAAAAGGTTTTGGCATGCTCTGATCACGAATCTGCGGTCCATTTTTGCGTAGGATGCACGGTTCCGGAGATGTGCAGATCAATTAACTCTTATCTAATTAATATCCGGTGCCGGCCTCCACCGTCATTAGCGCCCCATTGTTCTTATTTACTTATCTATTGTTCATTGAATACCGTCATTATCTATTCTTCCTCAGCGTGGTGCTATTGTATTATACTCCTTTGTTCCTATCTACACTAATCTGACTCATCAATAAAACACATTACCTAATTTTGTTAAAATTTTTATTTACAAAATACAAAATCTTATTACTTATTATCTATAAAATAGGAACGAAACATCTCATCCACTAAAATATCGTTGTACAATGTGTTCCCTGTAAATATACTCGTAAAACTATGCATTTAACATCCCTGAAACTTATATAACAAATACATTAAGCAATATTCGCCATAAACTGAAATCCACTCATTCTGAATCCTATCAACATTCCAGTTCCATCTTTTACAATTTCTTTTTAAAAACTCTAGATGATATCGTACAGGTGCCCTTCCGAATGAATCAAAATATTGACCGACGTCATTCGTATCAATATATAAAGCTACCCAATGTGACCCTGGTTTATCATCTGTATCCAAATTGCATATTATATACGTTGGTACGTGGGTGTACATGGGCAGTTTATTGGCAGCATAAACATTATTTTCTAGAGTGGGGTGAATCTTTTTCAGATGTTGTTGTACATCTAGTGTATCCATGATATTACTGCTATTAGTAGATTATTACAGTACCAATCTACTCAATGACTAACATAGGAATGATCAATTATAGTGATTTCTAAATATTAAATTGCATTCTTTGTGTTATACAAAACGTATTTGAGTCATCAATACACTGAACAAGATACGACACGAAGGACGAAGGAATGTTGAGATAAGCAACAGAATGTGATATAAGCTTGTTGACGCATAAAGTTATTATCAATTCCACTGCAGAAATTCTTTAGATTAGAGTTATCACTTACTGGTACTATATAAGACCAAGCAACTGGAGTCGTTGAGTTAGTGTATGGTCGTTTGACCGCAGTGGATCTATCAATACTACATTTGTGTTACTTCAACGCATCAAAGGCCATGGATGTGTTTATTCTATTGACAAACTTACTTTTCTTTCTGTTATTTTCTTACGTGTGTATGATTTAGTGTTAACAAATTATATTTAAATATTGTGTGTGTATATGATTAAGCCGTGGTAGCTCAGATGGTTAGCGCAAAATGTAAATTTCACAGTACGCGACCCGGGTTCGATCCCCCGCCGGCACCAATTAAATTGTTAATTGCAATTTCAAGTGCTGATTTACCACGTGCTCTGCGGTGAAGGAAACATCATGAGGAAACCTGCATGTCTGAGAAACTTTCGAAGGCATGTGAAGTTTGCCAACACGCATTGAGACAGTGCAGCGAACATTTCCTAGCCCTAAAACCCTCTCAGAAATGAGAGGAGGCCTATGTTCAGCAGTGGACTTTAGTAGGCTGTAACTTTAACTTTTTTAACTTTTATGATTAAGTGTTAACAAATTGATATTAACATGATAACTGTGTTGTTGCAGAAATCATTGAGCTTCGATGAAAATACCTATAAATAGTATTACTACTCGCCACTCTCCCCTCAAGAAGAGAGTGATGATATCGTCATTAATAATAACACATGCGATGGTGGAAAAAGAAAATCGCAATCGATTGATCATTTTTTTGAAGCTGAATCAAAAATAAAAAAGAGGAAGCTGTTATCATCTACCGTAGCACGAGCCGCTAGAGATGGTGTATCATACATTTCTACTAATTCTGACGACGGAGACCAAGCGACGCATCTCATCAAAATTGAAATGTACGATATGAAGAAGCTATCCAAGATTCCAACTACTGATCATTGGAAACATGCTTCCACGAGGATTAAATATTACGTAAAGACTACTAAGGATAGCATCTATGACAACACAAACGCCCTCGTATACAATTACAAAGACAATAGCAGAAAGTGAAAAAGTTAAAAAATACTTTTTTAACAATGACAGTCATTAGCTGATCATTTGTGAATGTAATTCTGTTTACTTAAATTACTTCTGTGTACTCATTATATTCTATTTCAAATCCTTTGCTAGACTATAAATATCGGACATTATTTGAAATTTGGGTATCAGTTGGTCTACCAACAGTGAAGTGTGCACCAGTGCTTTCTTCTCCACAACCATGGAAGAGAATACGGAACTATTCAACAGCGAATTAAATCAGGAGTTGTCTAAAGTTTGTGATGAAATGGAGAAGGATCAACTGTTCGGTTCATCGTATGATGATGAGTTGTATAATCACTGTGCGATGGTTGAAGCACAGTTTAAGTAAGTAAAATAAACATTCATTTCGATCATAATTTACACATTGTCTTATACAGTTTTTAATAAAATTAAACATTTTAGTAGTCAACCACTACAACTTGGAAGGGGAACGAAGCGAACGAGCAGCAAAGAACCCAAGATCATCAAAAAACCAACAACGGAAGCAGAAGCGCCTACCTCTGCAGGGAACAGTATCAGTAACGATGATCAAGTGGAATGTCTAACGTATCATATATTTATCAAGAAACGGTATTTAGCTAATCATTTTAAAAGTAATGTTCACAAAAATAATCTTTTAAATTCACATAATTCTTTATCAAACGTTAGTGTTATTGAATCTGCTTTTGGAAATAGGATTTTAACTTATAAAATCAAGAGTAGAGTAGTTAGGTCGACATTGGTAAATTTTTAAACTCCTGAACTATTTTTAAATTCTATTAAAGATGATATTTTATTTATAATACAAGAGTGTATTCATCAACACATAATTTTTAAAGTAAACTTCATAGTGCATGCTGATTTTGTTCAACAAACTAAAGATATTCATAATACGTTCGATTTTCAAACGCTTAACTATATTATTTGTCAAGGAGATGACTTAAATATTTTTTTCATCTTTAAATGATACAATTACTACTAAAATTAGTGCATTTGAAAAAAAAAGATAGTGGATGGAGTCTAAAAAACATAAAATCTATAGACATGAATGTTAATAAATTTAACCCCCTACGCGGTACTTCATACATAGATCTTCCTCGTGACATAAAATTAAAAAAGGCTGTTAAAAATGTAAAAAGCTTGGATAATTTTTGTTTTAAATGGGCGTTACTCTCGGCGTTATATCCCGTAAACAAAAACGCGGATCGGGTATCATCGTACGTTAAACATGCAAATAAACTTAAATTTGATGGTATTTCCTTTCCAGTTAAAATTTCTGACATAGCTAAAGTAGAGAAATTAAATGATATTAGTATTAATGTTTTTGGGTTACAATATAATAAAGAAAAACGATGTAATTCTATAGTAGGTCCATTATTTTTAACAAAGTGTCGTAAAGATAGACATATGAATTTATTATTTTTTTCCAAGGATACAAAAAATCATTATTGTTACATAAAAAATTTATCGCGGTTAGTTAGTAAACAAATTTCAAAAGACGGTCACATCATGTACATTTGCGAAGCATATCTACTTCATTTTCCATCTCAGGAGAGGTTAAATAACCATGAACAATACGATTGTACCCACATTTGTATAGAATTACCAAACAGTGAAACTTTAAAAAAAATAATTGGTTTGGTCAACCCATTTCAAATGATAAAATTAAATTTGATAGTTATGAAAAAAGTTAAAGATACCATTCGTAGTTTATGCTGATTTTGAAGCATTTTTAAAACCAATAGAATCATGTTCTAACGATCCTTCCAAACCTTTCACACACAATATTCAGAAACATGAAGTACATAGTTTTGATTATTATATAAAATGTTCATATGATGATAAATTATCAAAATATGTAACATATTGCGGACCCAACTGTGCACAAGTGTTTATGGAAAGTTTATCTAACAATCTAAAAGAAATAAACAGACTTCAAAAATATCCTCCACTTCCGCTTACAAATGAAGACAAAAACCAAATTTCAAATGCAACCATTTGTCATATTTGTGAAACAGAGTTAGCAGAAGATTTTTATGATTTTGATCGGTACACCGGTAGTTTTATAGGTTTTGCTCATGAATCATGTAGCTCGAAGT